GCAATCCAGGACAGATAAACCCCTCAGGAACAATAATTGGAGTAGCGATAACATGAGGGTAGAGGGAGGTGGGGGGAGAAAGGGGAGAAATGGGGAACCAATCAAAATGATTGACGTATAACCCACCCCACCCCCATCCTCCCCCCTCAGCAGGATGAACAACAGAAACATGGGTGAAGGGAGACTGCCGATGATGTAAGATAGGAAAATAATAATTTATAATTTATCAAGTGGTAACAAAGAGGGGGGCAGAGAGGAGTTGATACCAAGGGCTCAATGGAAAGTAAATGCCTAGAAAAGAATGATGGCAACATACGTACAAATATGCTTGCTATGATTGACGTGTGGATTGCTATAAGAGCTGTAAGAGCCCCCGATAAAGCAATTTATCTTGAAGAAGAAGCAGGCCCTTGATGAGATAGATTGACACAGTGGTTGCAAGAATGGACTGCAACATAAGCCTAATATTGAGGATGGCGGAGAACCGGGTGGTGTTTCATTCTGCTGTACAGAGGCTCACTCTGAGTTGGAACGGACTGAACAGCAACAACACCTGGGCCAAGCTATGAAAACAAAATTACAAAAAGCAAAAGTGCTTTCTTGTTCCCATCAATTGAGGTATAAAAAGTTATTGCTTAAAAAATATTGTGCTGAATTGTGGATCAACAATCTTAAAGCATGTTGTAAAATTAAAACATTAAACGTTAATGCTTACACTGACACTAACTTTTGCGACATTGTTACCTGTACAACACTGAAAAACAAATTCTATCAAATGAATATCAAACATGATAACGAAGTCTTCCATACTAAGAATACTGAATACATTTTCTCCGTAAGACTCTAATTTAATAATGAAACGCCTAATTCACTTCTACAGTCACTGTATAAATTATAGCAATGCTTTATATGCTGAAGGAAAATATTTGTTAATTGAAAGAAAAAAACAAAGGAAGTACTCAGGACATAGACTACTTTATAATTTTCTAGCATTTTTTCTGTCTTAAAGATTTATTTATCTCGGGGAGCGAGGAGGGAGGGGAAAAAATGAGGCCCTAATGCCAGGGGTTTGGGTGGCGAGGAAATGTTTTGAGAATGATGAGGGCGGTGAATTTACAAATGTGCTTTGCACAATTGATGTATGTATGGATTGTGATGGGAGGTGTATGAGCCCCTAATAAAACGATTGAAAGAAGAAAAGAAAAAAAAAAGATTTATTTACCTCATTTTAAAGGAGGGAAATTTAAAATATATCTTTCACTTACATAAACAATGTAACCTAATATTCATTTTAAAAACACAGCATCATTTATAACTATAGGCACTAATAAAATTAGAGTAACTTGGCAGCCTGCAATCTGGACCTCTAAAGCAAGGAAATATTACTTACCAGTACTTCAAGAATTTGGAATTTCATATATGAAACAGAAATTATCAGGATAAACTGACCTATCAATAGCTTCCACTATATTTGTCAAAGCTTTCTAAAATCACCCTAATTGGAATTGACGTCAAGAAACTCTAGCAGATTTCTCTAGGCATATAAAAGTATGAAGTATTTTTCTAGATGCAGAAACATACCTCCTTACTGAACTTATCTTTAAAAATATGCAAAGGAAAAACATTCAAGAAATGTAAACTGGGTGGCAAACAGATAGTATAAATTGGAAAATATATTAAGGGCTTTTAGATTTTTTCCTAGATATGTATAAATGTCTATTTAGACTTACCTTTGTAGTATCTAATAACTGCTCAGAATTGTCTTTCCCCAATCTCTGCCATGTACTGTAGTTTACTGACTCTTGGATCTGTTGAAAGTGGAAGGGCAAGGGATTCAGATCAGATTGCGCAGTTAATATTTCAAGATTATGTCTATTACTGTCTATAAACACATATAAAATCAAAGCCACAACCATTGGTAGATCTTGAGGGGAATGTGCATACTCAGGGTAGAACACAAATGCATCAAATACCTAATTTCACCTGACCACTGGCTCAAATAGTGGAAGAGACATGCTTTTGCTTGTATTTTTCTTTTCATTTCCAGTAGTATATGAAGAAATCTCTACTCAAAAACTAGTTAGGCACAGCTGTGAAACAAAGTCATGGCTGTCAATGTGATATACAGGGCAGTGATATACAGGGCAGTCATTGAAAAACAGCTAAATGTGATGATCATTGAGCATGATAACAACTACAACCTGCAACAATTAAAAATGTATAAATATATATTTACAAACAATTGAAACAAAGAAATATCTGAGATTGAGAACTAACACATGAAAATATAAAATTGTCCAAAATATCAGAAAGCATACAAAGAATGGGGAAAAGTAGTCAATTAAAATAATAGGAGACAAGTCAGAAATCCATCACTCTATGCCAGTGGTTCTCAACCTTCCTAATGCCATGACCCTTTGACACAGTTCCTTAAGTTGTGGTGACCCCACAACGGACAAAATTATGTTCGTTGCTACTTCATAACTGTAAGTTTGCTACTGTTATGTATCATAATGTAAATATCTGAAATGCAGGATGTATTAGGTGACTCCTGTGAAAGGGTTTTTCGACCTTCAAAGGGGTTGCGACCCACTGGTTGAGAACTGCTGCTCTAGGGCAGCTGGTTCTTGACATGGCCCAAAATTCCTATGGAGAATGAAAAATATCTTTAACAAATGGTGCTAGCAAATTTGGGTATCATCTGCATAAAAATGAAATAGGATCCATACCTCAAACCATAAACAAAAGCTAAACCAAACTGTATTAAAGACATACATGTCAAAGTTAAAATTAAGTTTCTAGAAGGTAGCATGTGGAGCCTTGGTGGTGTAGTAGTTATGCATTAGGCTGAGATTCACAAGGTCGGCAGTTCAAAACCACAAGCTGTTCCTTGGGAGAAAGACAGGGCTTTCTACTCCTGTAAATAGGTAAGTCTCAGAAACCCACAGGTACAGTTCTACCCTGTTCTATAGGGTCCCTGTGAGTCAAGCATCCGCTCAATGGCAGTCAGAATGAGAGAGTGAAAAATTGAGTGAGTGAGTAAGAGAGAAAATAATGTAGGAACTGCGGTGAAGAAAAATTTCTCAAATATGGCTCTCCTACCCAAGTCTCTGTAACTCCCACCAAATGACTGGGTGGGCTATGCAAATAGGGTTGTGTAACACTAAGACAGGGGGTTGGTCAGTTTTCACTACCACCTCCCTGGCTATAAGGATGAGCCATCTTTGAAGCAGCAGTAAAGAGAAAAACCCTGAGGATCACTGAAGAGCACCTGTCTGTGGTAGAGGGTGCCTAGGCCTGATGCACCAGAACCTGGGACACGGAGACTCATTAAGTGTTGACAAAGATGTGGAGAAATTTGAACACGTGCACTACTAGTGGGAATATAAAAAGGTACAGTCATTATGGAAAATAGTTTGGTGATACTTCAAAAAGTTAAAACACAAAATTATCAATCCTAGGTATATACTCAAAAGAATTTAAAGCAGGAATTCAAACACTCATACACCAATATCCATTGCAGCACTATTCACAGTAGTTGAGAGGTGGAAACAATCCAAGTGTCCATCAACATATCTCTAGTGCTATAGCCACCCAGTGGAAGATTATTAAGTCCTAAAGAGAAATTGAATTCTGATACATGCTATGTCTTGCACGAACCTTCCAAACAATATGCTGAGGCAATGAAAACATCTAAAATAGTAGTGATGCTTGCACAAATGGTGAATGTAACTGATAATGCTGAACTGAACATTTTTAAATGATGAAATGGCTAATGTTTTATTAAATATTTTATCAAGGTAAAAAATTTTTAAATCATCTCCAAACACAAAATAACTATTCAAATTATTGAGAGAAATGGTTCCATGGCTCTCTAAAATGCAGTGAGTGACAGATGGTTTTTCTAAGACCAAATTTCCTGTCATTGAATCGATTCAGATTCACAGAGACACTTGAGAACAGAGTAGAACTACCTCATGGGATTCCCAAGGCTATAAACCCTGACCAAAGCAACCGTCATCTCTTTCTCCCATGGAGAGGATAGTGGGTTGGTTTGCAGCCAAGTGCTTTAGCTACTGTGCAGCCAGAGCTCCTTTCTGCTTATGTATATGTACAAATATAAAAGGCAGCTCCGAAGTAGAAAAATTTCCAAAATACTAAGAGATATATGTACATTGTCTTACAAATCCAAGTGTCACATATGCTCAAGCTATTCTTTCTCATAGTAAGCACTCATTACTAATGCTCTCCTGCTTCTCAACACCAACGTTTTTCCCAATGTCTTCCTCCATACTCAGTTATGACACAAAGAAGTTTGTACTCCCTTATTTCCCTGCTTTCTACAAGTCTCCACTTCAAGTAACGCTACATGAAACAGGATCTTGCTCAATTTTGCACATGAACGTGCAATTTAATCTTCTTTGGCTTTGAGCATTTGCCTCTCAAATGTATGACTGCCCACATTCTTTTTTCTTTCTCAATGTTTCTATCGATGGACAACAAAACCAGCAAAATCAAACTAAACTCACAGCCATCGAACTTATTCCAACCCATAGCAACCCTATAGGACAAGCAGAACCACTCTCTGGAATTCCAAGTCTGTTTACAGGAGCAGAAAGCCTCTTCCTGCTCGTACAGAGCATCTGGTGGTTTCGAACTTCTTTCTTGTACTCATTGTCTCTAGCTTCCCACCCCCACGTCCCCTGCTATACCCCCAAGAGAATATTAATCCAGTTACTATCTCCATAGATTTTCCCATTCTGGAGTTCATATAAAGTAAAACATACAAACAACAACAAAACTAATAACCAAAGCAAAGTAAAAGTGAGAAAAAACTTCAATAGAAAAAGAAAGCAGAAAATATTAAAAACTAGAACAAATATTAAATGGGTCAGAAGGGAGATCAAATAATAATGTATTAAAGTTTATTTAACCTAACTGAATCTACAATAATCCACTGTCCAATGTACTATGCATGATAGCAAGATTATTCACATTCTGAGTCTGTCTATGGTCACAGGGAATCCACCAGAGGATTAGTACATGTGTACTTCCCTCTGCTTTTTTCCTTTACCTGAAACAACTTTAAAATGGGTCAAACGGGATATCAAATGATTGGATAGCCAGGCACCATGTAGTTTCTTCACCACACTTTATATAGTACCCATTATTTTCAATGATCTCTTCATGAGGGTAAGTATCAAGCAGGGCCTCTTCATGAGGGCAAGTATCAGGCAGAGTATCATGACATTATTGACATCAATTAACTTGGACACTGTTTTGTATGTTTTAGCTATGTGACACAAGAGCATGCTGTGTGGGTAGAAGAGCCACATTAAGCAATTTCACTCCATTGCTGAAACCCTGGTGGGGACTGAGCATGATAGTAGGACAGGAGGAAATTCAAGGGAAATAGAGGAAAGAGCTGGGAGGCAA